CTGTATTAGCTTTACTGCCAAGGTCAGATAATTAGATTCAGGATGATGTAAGAGTTTCTGCAAACCCTTGAGTATCCTAAATGGCTGGTATGTGATGTAACTTTTAGATGGATGGGAGAAAAAAAATACCTCATCCTCCCACGGCAGGGCTATCATTCAGTTGTCTGAGGAGGTGATATTTAATATGAAGAGCTTCAATTAAATTATAATCTGGTCAGTCAAGCATCAAAGTCTGATTATTAGATTTTTTTTTTTTTTTTTTTTTTTTTTTAGTGTTTTGGAGGGAGGTGAGAAGGAGAAAGGGTGGCATATGACATCTGAAGTTGGGAGGAGGGTGATTGGTAAATAATGCCACTGATTAGGTTGAGTAGTAGATACAAGAAGAGAAGGCTAGGGATCCAGATGGTGAGTGGAATGCTTTCCAGTCTTGCTGATTTGATGACATTGCTGAAGAAGGACATCCTTTCATTCACTGCAAAGAAATGCATTGAACTATTTTAATGACAGCTGTGGTAGATGCAGGCATTTCTACATTGTAGGATTTGGAAAGTTCTTTTTTAAAAGTGTGATTGACCTTGTTTAAATTAAGGAGCCAGATCCTCAATAACTTGTGCCCATGTTTAGTTCACCATATGATTCATAAAATATTATTTTCTTATATCATTTTTGCTACTTATCTAAAAAGAGTTTCCTTGCCTGATGCAAAATAAGTGTGGGAGCAACGTGATGTTCAGAGCCAGTATTTGCTTAGGTATTCACTCTGAGCCTGTCTAGACCCATGCTGACCATCTAATTTCTAGACTCTTCCAGAAATTTCTAGACCCTTCTAAACTATCCTTGCTATGCTGTTTCTGAATATACTGCTTTATGTTACTGTTGTTGTTTTTCAGTCACTAAGTCATGTCTGATTCTTTGTGATCCCATGGACTGCCACACACCAGGCTTCCCTGTCCTTCACTATCTCCCTGAGTTTGCTCAAACTCATGTCCATCGAGTTGGTAATGCTATCCAACCATCTCATCCTCTGTCATATCCTTATCTTCCTGCCCTTGATCTTTCCTAGCATCAGGGTCTTTTCCAGTGAGTTGGCTCTTCACGTTAGGTGGCCAGAGTATGTTACAGTATATACTATGCAATTAAAAATCAAGCTACCTCAATAAAATCACTTGACTAAGTGGTTCCCATATTCCATTAGAGGAAATAAATTCAAGTTCTTCCAGATGATAGGAGACAATTACAGTAAAGTACAAGTATTTTTGCAGTGTCTTTCTTCATCACTGTTGTCAAAAGCATAATTTAGATATTTAATATAAGCATGGCACTGTTCTCAGTGTTACACATTTTTTCCTGAGCCTCCTCAACTCTGGGATTCTGCATAAATTACACTTCTACATTTTACTCCTTATTAATATATTGTCATTAGAATAGAGTCAGGACTTTTTAGATTTGGCCACTAACCTAGGGACAAAGTAGTATAAGATATAAAAAAATATAATCAATTTCTTTCCTTTCTGGAGGAAGACAGGTCAACTTTACTTGGAGCATCTTGGCATTAAATAAGAAAATAAAACCTAACTGTAGTTATATAGTTTACATATTTCTTAAATTCCCCTGATCACTGCTTTGGGATCATCCAGATGTTCTATGAGTTAATAATTTTGTTCGGTTTAATTACATTGAATTATTTTCTGAAATTAAAAGGGGCCATTCATTGAATTCTCCAGCATTGCCTCCTTTGTTGACTGCTGGCAATTTTAAATTAAAATGATTTTTCTTTATAATTCCCATACTAAGAAGTTTAGCATTGTCTACATCCTCCCTTGGGCAGAACTAAAGAGCATTTTGCAATGTAGTACATCTTCCCTGAGATTACTTTTCTTAAAACAAGACAGTTGTTTTTCTGCAGGCCGTTGCTTGAAAAATAGACTTAAATATATCTGCCAAAGCTTTGCTTGTATATTTGACTGATTTTTTAAAAAGTTGAAATATATCAGAAAGATCTCCTTTCCACCTTAGGAGCATTGTCAGTCTTTAGACTTAGTAACATCTTAATCTTGGATTGGAATACAAACTTAGTTTTCTTTAATATTTTTTCTCTTCCAGAAAAAAATGAATGTGGCCTTTTTAAATTCAACCTTCACCTTTGAGATCAGAAAAAGGAAATTAAATTATGTTTCTACCTTTGCAATTTCTACTTTTCATCAATAAATTATTTTTCTATCAAGTAGAAACCCTGTTTGTCTCATGCTGTGACCTCCAACCTCTTCCATCCAAATAGCTTCCATTCATATGAGGCACTGGGGCCCTTTCCCTCTTCTCTTAATACATTGGCCTCACTTACGTATATATTTTTACATTTTCTTCTGTAACTTTTTTGGATTTACTTAGTGTTTATTGTCTTGTAGATACTATCTCCTGTTCTTTTTCCTCTTTTGTTTACCTAGGGTGGAAATTGGATTGCTTTCATTTCCTTCCTAGGATTTATTAGCATAGATGACACAGCCCTGGAAGGTAATAGGAACAGTGTTAATGCTCTCAGTGTTTTTATTCTTGACTTTTTGTGGTTCCAGTTCCATTCAGTGAAAGAGACAAGGTGGTCAGAAAATCTTGGAGAATATCCTGTCATAATAAAACAAAGTGGATTTTAAAGACAGTGGTAGTGAACCAGAGAATCAGATGCTAAAGACAATTTTAATAATTGTGAGTCATTGACACATAAAACAATTTTAGTACAGTAGATTATTCTTTTGAGAAACTTAGTGGGGGTAATGATCCAAGATGCAAGACGGCTTCCCAGAATGTGCAGTGTCATGGGAAGTGCTCAGTTAGCCTCAACTTGGGTTGCAGTTTCAGAGAGTTCAGGAAGAATCAGTAGAGGATAGAAACTGTTCACCTGCAGAAACAGTGATGAATCAGCGAGAAAAGGCAGGGGAGGTGGAATTTAAAAATCTGAGTTTCAAAGGTTCTTTTTCTCTGAGACACAGCAGGGAATGCAGACAGTTTTGTGGATGATACCGGATGTTTTCAAATGTAGAAGAGACAGCATCATGTAGGGGAATTTTCTTATGCTCAGTGAAATGAGAGAAGAGTTACTTGCTAAGATGGAGTTCAGATCCGGAGCCTCCGTCTTGGACGATGTTTGCCTGGAGAAAAGTCAGAGAGACATGGAGCTTACTGAGCAGTGGTGATAACTCCATACCTGACCAAGTCACTCGCTTGCTTGAAACCTTGGATCAGAAATCTTTGACTAGCAAGGAAAACACAGTGATTTTTCTTTCTTGGTTTGTATTTATTTTGTGATTTGTCATGGAAAAATAGGAACAAATAAAATTGTATCAATTAACTTCATTTTTTTTTTTTAACTTTCTCCTAAATTTAGATTACCTGGAGAAGGAAATGGCAACCCACTCCAGTGTTCTTGCGTGGAGAATCCAAGGGACAGAGGGTTCTGGTGGGCTGCTGTCTGTGGGGTTGCACAGGGTCAGACACGACTGAAGCGACTCAGCAGCAGCAGCAGCAAGCTTAGATTGGTGTCCCATTTAACTCTGAGAACCCAGCACCTTCAATGTAGTCAGGAATATAGGGTGATTTTTAAACCACGTTGAACTTGATATTCATCCCAAATGCAGTTTTGCACTAGTTGTAAATCAGGGAGGTGGTCAGGCCCCACTCCACCTAATTGCCTACTTTTGCAGCATGCTTTGTCAGTTCTTGTCATTTTCTACACACCATTGTGCTTTCCTTTCTAGGACACTTTTGGGTAAGGTGACGTCACCTAACCGATGTCCCCTGCCCTTCCGCATGTCTCTCATACGTAACCTTGGCTTGAATTTGCCCTCCTTCATAAAGCTGTCTAAAATTATATCTGGTCTCCTTCTCTCTGTCTCTGTGAAAGCAAACTCTCTCAGTTCAGATCTTTATTTTCATAGTTCTCCCTGCTTTCTTAGGTAGACTGTAATTTCTTGTGGGAAGAACCATATCTTCTATTTCTTTTATATCCACTCACCATTGTCTAGTACCAGGCATGCATTAAGGATTAGTAAATGTTTGGAGATTGTATTATAACTGGTGTTTTATTTTCATATGATGACTCCAATAATTGGTATTTAAAATATGTACACTCCTTAATATTTGTCTTTTATTGTGCTACTGCAGATAATGGTTGTTATAATAAAATGTTTCTGGTGTTGTAGGTCCTATTAATATACTTTGTTAATTTAAAATATTATTTTAAATTTACATTTTATTTCTTTTTTTTTTTTTTTTTTCATTTTCATGGTCTATATGTGGTTGTTCAGCCCCCAGTCATGACTCTTAAGAATGTCATGGTGACCTGTCAGAGAATTCTTGGGTTAAGGTGTTTTTACCTTGCATCTCTGAAATTATGCTTCATTATAATATGCTCCTTCAGTCTTTTTATTTCCAGCAGTTTATCCCTGATAATAAAATTTTGCCTGCTGTGCCCTGAAATTTTGCCATTCCTTTTTCTATAGGCCATATAAGGTCTGATACATTTAGCATAAGGAAATACACTGAGAATGTTACCTGTTATTCCTTTTCCTTTCTAACTTACTCATTAATTATTAGCAATGCCATAGATCTTGTAATTTTTTTTTCTATTTTGGCTGCATTGGGTCTCCCCTGAAGCATGTGGGGCTTTGCTAGTTGAGGCACATGGATTTAGGTGCCCCATGGCATATGAGATCTTACTTCCTCAACCGGGGATTGAACCGACATCTGCATTAGAAGGCAGATTCCACTGGACAACCCGGGAAGTCCCAGATCTTGTAATTTGGTTGTTATTGGGAAGTGGTCGTTTGCATGACTCCTTGAAGCTAAGGAGCTTTTTATGAGATAAAAAAAAATACCAAAAAACATTTAAGTTGAATGATAAATTCATCACAAAATAATTTCAAAATGTATTTCTTATTTATTGCAAAAGAACCAAATATATTACAAAGCTATACAGAACATAAAATACATCTTTGTGTTTATTTTAGGACTCAAACATTTTAAGTCCAGTGCAAGATGGAACAAAGAAACCTCAGATTGACAGCAATAAGAGCAACAACTATCGGATTGTAAAGGAGGTCAGCAACTAGTTTTATGTGGGTTTATATTTGCATGGCAAAAAAGTTTTGTCTGTTGATTATATTTAATATTGTATTTTCTATGGTTAATGATTTTCTTCTTGTTTGGAAAGATTTTGATTAGGCTCAGTAAACTCTGCATCCAGAACAAAAAGTGTCGCAATCAACATCAACGATTATTGAAAAATATGGGAGCCCATTCGGTAGTGTTGGATCTGCTGCAGATACCCTATGAAAAGGTGCGTTTTTAGGTTCTGTTTTCCTTTTTTAATTTTGGGGCAATTTCAGTATAGCAAAGTTGCAAATAATATTTTCCCCTGAACCCTTTGCAAGTAAGTTGCCAACCTGATACCCTACCTCCCGAGTCCTTTAGTATGTATTCCCTATGAACATCACCCCATAACACCCTTCCAGATTGAGAAGGAACGTGGCATTCTGCTGCCATCTCATCCTCAGAAGCCACTCACATGCTCCCATCTTCCCAATCATGTCCTGTTTGACAAAAAGATCCACTTCAGAAACAGATGCTGTTTCGTGTCATGTCCGTTTAAACCTCCGCATGCTGGACCTGTCATACCTGGACACTTTTAAAGACTGGCCAGCTATTCTGAAGACTGCCTCTTCATTTGGATCATCTGACTTTGCCTCATGATTCGATTCAGTATCCATCTTTGGCAGGAACGTTACAGGACTAACACTTAAGTTTTTCCCACCGTTTCCCGTCAGACAGCGTGCAGTTTTGATTTGCCTCGTGACCGGTGATGTTTACTTGGGTCACTTGATAAAGATGGTGTCTGCCAGAATTCTCACTGTGAGCTACTCAGTTTTCCTCTGTAATAAATATTTTGTGGCACAGTTCTTTGAAACTAAGTAAATACTCCAGTTTTGATCAAAATTTCTTTTTTTTTTAATCTTTTAAGTAATTTTTTTAAATTGGAAGACAGTGGTTTTACAATGTTGTGTTGATTTTTGCTGTCCAACAACGTGAATCAGCTGTAAGTATACACATATTCCCTCCTGTTTGAACTTCCTCCCCTGTGTATCCCACCCCTGTAGGTCATCACAGAACCCTGAACTGAGCTCCCTCTACAATGCTGCAGCTTCCATCAGCTGTCTACTTTTATTAAACGTTTGATTTATTCATCTATTTATTTGTTTGTTTTAGTATGGACTCATGGATGCTGATTTCACATAATAGGTTATATTAGGTTTCTATCATTATTTATTTTGATTTGTCCCAAATTGGGCCAATGGAGCCCCTTCAGGTTAGTTGCCTGTCCTCTAACATGGCCTCATCAATCTTCGAGTGATTCATCACTTAATTGCACATTAAAATGTTCCAGGCTCACCTTGCAGTTTTCTTGTTCCACCTGGAATTAGCTGTTTCTTCAGGAAGCGCCAGATCCATTTGGGGGAGAATGGTATTTGGGAGAAAAATTCTGAGAACTTAATGTACTTATTTCTGTGGGGGTTTTGCTTCTTCAGGTCCTCTAAGTAGACAGATCTAGAGAATATATGTGTGTGTGAATATAAATACTCACTTATTAATATACTGTTTATAACTCATCTTCCACCATCTCTGCTCCCCCTTCCTCCTGATGAATGCCCTCTGCACTTCTCTCAGGCTCTGACCTTAATCTGAGAGTAGATGCCCTGTTTACCTCTCTTGGAAACCAACCATGCCAGGCCATACACCCTTCCCACTTGGACTTTTCATTTCTCTGATTGAATTGGCCCCTGTTTGACTTAGTTGCATTTTAATATGTATATTTATAAGGTGGTATAATTCAAACTATGTTAGAGAATACAGTAAAAGAATTATTGAAAAGCAGCCAAACATATTAACTTCTTAGTATTTATAATTCAAATTATTATATCTTTGATATTGTAACACAGGCATATAACATGTAATGAAGTCCCTTTTTCTAAAAAAGTAACTATAGTGTTGAGTGTTTTACTACTACTTTATGTTTGTGGGTTTTCTATTTTATTATTATATTTTTATTGAAATATTACTAATTTACAATATTATATTAGTTTCAGGTGTCCAGCAGAGTGATTTGAAATATTTTTATAATCACAAAGTGATGTCAGCATACAAAGTTATTACAATATTATTGGCTATATTCCCTATACTGTACATTACACCCTTTGTTTTATAACTAATTTATTTTATAAGTGAAAGTCTGTAACTCTTAATCTTTCCCACCTATTCATCCCCCCATCCCACTCCACTCCGGTAACCATCAGTTTGTTCTCTGTATCTATGAATCTGTTTCTGTTTTGTTCGCTTGTTTATTTTCTCCTTTAGAGTCCACATATAGGTGGACTTGTAGTGTTTGTCTTTTTCTGATTTATTTCAGTTACATAATACCCTCCAGGTTCATCAATATTGTCACACATGACAAGATTCTGTTCTTTTTGGCTAAGTATTATTCCATTGTGTGTATATCTGTCTATCTATATATATATATGTGTGTGTGTGTGTGTGTGTGTGTATATCACATCTTCTTGACCCAGTCATGGAGACTTAGTTTGCTTTTGTATCTTGACCATTGTAAACAATGCTACAGTGAACATATGGGTGCATATATCTTTTTGAATTAGTGTTTTTGTTTTCTTCAGAAAAATACTCAAAGTGGAACTGCTGGATCATATGATAGTTCTGTTTTTAGTTTTTGAGGAAACTTTATACTGTTTCTGTAGTGGCTATACCAATTTATGTCTCCACCAATAGTGCACAAGGGTTCCCCTTTCTCTAAATTTTCACCAACACTTGTTACTGTTTTTGATAATAGTCTTTCTAACAGGTGTGAGTTGATTTCTCACTGTGGTTTTGATTTGCACTTCCTTGATAATTGGGCTTCCCTGGTGGCTCAGCTGGTAAAGAATCCCCCCTTCAGTGCAGGAGACCTGGGTTTGATCCTTGGGTTGGGAAGATTCCCTGGAGAAGGGAATGATAATCCACTCTAATATTCTGGCCTGGAGAATTCCATGGACTGTAGTCCATGGAGTTACAGAGAGTCGGACACAACCGAGCAACTTTCACTTTCACTTCCTTGATAGTGATGTTGAGCATCTTTTCATGTGTTTGATGGCCATCTGTGTGTCTTCTTTGGAAAAAAAAGTCTATTTAGTGCCTTTGCCCATTTTTTTCTTTCTTTCTTTCTTTCTTTTTTTTTTTTGGATGTTAAGGTGTATGAGTGTTTTGTGTATTAACCCCTTATTAGATACATCATTTGCAAATACCTTGTTTCATTCAGTATTTTGCTTTTTTGTTTTGTTGATAGTTTCCTTTGCTGTGCCAAAACTTTTTAACACTGAAAAGCACATACAGTGTGATATCATCTCTCTCAGAGCTCATCCCTAGGTTAATTGACCACATGTTTTGGGGTTTATCTCTGGGTTGTCTGTTCTGCTCCATTGATTTATGTGTCTGTTTTTGTGCCACCATCATACTGTTGGAATCACTGTCGCTTTGTAGTATAGTTTAAAATTAGGAAGCATAGTATCTCCAGCCTTGCTCTTCTTTCTCAAGATTGTTTTGGATATTAAGGGTCTTTTGTGGTTCCATATAAATCTTAGAATTATTTCTGTGAAAAATGCCACTGGGGTTTGCTCAGTTTTAATAACTAGATTGTTCATAAACAAGCAAAAAAAGCATAAGGTGACAGCTTCAAGGAAATACCAATTCCAGTAGAATTGCCCCTGCCATTATTCTATACTGGCTGACTTTTCTGTGTGAATTGAGTGTTCCTGTGGCTGAAGTTGCTTTGATGTTTTTTTACTATGCCTGGACTACAAACATAAAAGAAAATACTAGTATATTTTGAAGTAAAAACTTCCTATTTTCAAGATGGGAATGGAGTTTTTGGACATAATTATTAGTCTAGTTAGTTCACCCCTATTTTAAATATGAGGAGATGAGTCTATTAATGATCTTAGGCTGTTGGTTTAGTTATAGATAGCATAAAATTTAGACTCTCGGATTAGGAAAAAAGAAAACAAGAAAATATTGGATTATCTTAATATAAACTGTGACTCAGCATAAATCCATTTTGTGTGTCTGAGAGTGACCACATGACCTAGCCTAAAAAAATTTTAGATTGTTTCAGTGATATTTTAAAAGATAACTTTTAAGAAGAAAGTTTTGCATTGTTTGTGAGTTTTGAGACTCAGGTTTCTTATTGAAATTCTTATTAGCAATAAAGTACTTTATCATAGGACTTTGGGAAAAGACAGTGAATAAGGAAACAATTTAAGAGTATGTGTGCTAAGAAAGAGGGGGAGAAAGAGAATGGGGGGAAGAGGAGGGTGGAAAGTGAGGAGATAAAGGAAAAGAATGAGATGGAAAAAAGAGGCCAAGTAAGTAGCAAAAGAAGCAGGCACAGAGAAGGGAGAGTGGAGACTAGAGGGAAGGTCAGAAATACTGGCCTGGCCAACGTTTGTTCAAGATTATCATAAGCCTCAATGCGACAATCTGGATGAACTTTTTGACCAACTCAAATATGTATATTTACAGAGTGGGGAAGAGAGGGCAGGTGAGTGGAGAGAAGAGGGTGGGGGCAAATCAGCAGGATATGAGAATGAGAGCAGGAGAGAAGGAGCCAGAAGAGGAGGGATAAATGCCTGGAAAAGAAGAAAGGGAGGAGCTGGAGAAACAGGGGGATAGAGATGATGCAGAATGAGGAAGAACAGAAAGCAGAAGGATCAGGAAGCTCCAGATACACTGAAACACTAGAAGAAGGTAAATCAAAGAGAGGGAAGGAAAGAGAGGGATTGGAGGATGCAAGGCAGAAGGGAACAGAACTGGGGAGAGTAAGGAGGGCAGAGAGAGAGGAACAGGGGGACAGAGGAGGTGTGGGGACAGATGCAGGGGAGAAGGGCAGCTTTGTACAGAGATGGGAAATTGTAGTGGACAAGTAGGAAGATTGGGGAGAATGAGAAATGGACTGTGAAACAGAAAGGGGAGCAGAACAGATAATAGAATGAAGATGAGGGGAGGGACATCTGCAAAATGGGGAGAGGTGTGGACACAGAAAGGAGACCATAAAACACTGAAGAAAACAGAGGAAAAAATGCCACGTGTGAAAAAACATATTCTTCGGTAGTATTTTTGCTCTGTGTGTTTCTCTGCATCATATACTACTTTTTAACTTCCAGAACGATGAGAAGATGAATGAAGTCATGAATCTGGCTCACACATTCCTGCAGAATTTCTGTCGGGGAAATCCACAGAATCAAGTTCTCCTCCATAAACATCTGAATTTGTTCTTAACCCCTGGTGTAAGTATTTGAGTGACTTCTAATATTTATAGTATTTATAGTAAAGTGTCCATGTCATTTCTTTTGGCAACATTAATGGATAGAATTTTATTCATCTTTGTGCATCTGTGTGTGCTAGTCGCTTCAGTTGTGTCCAACTCTTTGCGACACCATGGGTTGTAGTCCGCCAGGCTCCTCTGTCCATGGAATTCTCGAGACAAGAATACTATGGTGGGTTGCCATGCCCTCCTCTAGGGGATCTTCCCTACCCAGGGATTGAACCCATATCTCTTAAGTTTCCTACGTTGGTGGACAAGTTTGTTGCCACTAGTGCCACCTGGGAGACCCCATATTCATCTTCATCACCTCATTTTATTCCTTGTAGTGGCGGATTCTCCTCAAAGTGAGTATCTTTCCATTAAGGGAACATTTAAAGAAACTTGAAAAATTACACAAATCTTACCTGCAGATGGCAACTTCACTTTTATGTCCACAGTTAGGAAAAAGATAAGGTACAGCAAAGACTAAGTGTGATGCCCCGAGTAAGTAAATATGAAAAACTCGAAGGTGGAGTTACCTCTGCTCTGTAAAACATGTGTCAGCCAATACTAAGGAAGAGCCATGTTTGAATAGTACATGATTAAATTAATCTCAAGAATATTGTTGCCAACATGTTGACCTTTATAATAAGCACCCTTTTCCAACTAAATTCCTTTGGGAGCTCAGTTTTTTAATTTTATTTTTTTAAATGCTGAATAATCTCATTGCATTTTGTGCAAGAGTTGTACAGGAAACTCACTACATTTTTGCATAAAATAGAAAATTGATCACAAGCCGGGTAATTGGTCTAAGTATTACTGTAAAATAGAAAATTGATCTTGTCAGAATTACAAGGGCGCATTCCTCTGTGTGTTAGCTCCTTGAAGCAGAAACCATGCGGCACATCTTCATGAACAATTACCATCTATGCAATGAAATCAGTGAGAGGGTTGTCCAGCACTTCGTGCACTGCATTGAGACACATGGCCGCCACGTGGAGTACCTAAGGTTTCTGCAGACGATCGTCAAAGCAGATGGTAAATACGTGAAGAAATGCCAGGATATGGTAATGACCGAGGTATGTTCTCAGTTTGCATTTTACCAGCTTCACATAAACATTATGCTCAAATATGTGTTTTCTGTTAATTTTGAGTGAAAAAAAATCCCCCAACAACATAGGTTTGGAAAATAATTTGAGTACAGCTACTTAAGCATTAATGTATTTTGCTTAGGTCTAGGGAAGTGACATATCATAAGTTGATGTTATAATTTTCTAGGAGTGTATTTTTCTTTTTGAGCCTTAGTGAATTTGGGGTAAATAATGGGTAAAATCCTCTGAAATGTTATAGATTATTTAGAATGAAAGTGATTAAATTTTTTAAGTTTCAAAATATAACAGAAATGAATTAAACTCTGCTTTTCAAGTGCCTTTATTACTGTGTTCCCGTGATCATAGAATGGATGTTCTTTGCTACTATTTACAGAGGGCTTTGAAGGAAATGAAATTAATAGAAATTATCTGTCAGTGATTTTTTTACATTTGGAAGCTCAGCTATTCAGAGTCAGTTAAAAATTTAAGAAAAGCAGATGGGTGAGGTACTCCATTTATTTTGCCCTCTTTGTTACGTTTCTCACTGAGCCAGATTTATACAGTGAATGAGTTAGTTACTAGGAACCAAGTGATACTTTGGAGAATGCATGCCTGTGTGCTCTGAGTCACTTCAGTTGTGTCTGACTCTTTGCAGCCCTATGGAATGTAGCCTGCCAGGATCCTCTATCCATGCAATTCTCAAGTCAAGAATGCTGGAGTGGCTTGCGATGCCCTCCTCCAGGGGATCTTCCTGACTCAGGGGTTGAACCCATGTATATCTCTTATGTCTCCTGCATTGGCAGGCGGGTTCTTTACCACTAGCACCACCTCGGAAGCCTACTTTGGAGAATACTTTGAGCTTATGTGGGTAGATCACTGTTCTGTGACCTAATTTCTCTAAAGGCCTGTATGGATTAGGGCAGCTTTCAACCATCTGCAGTTACCTAGTGGATTATATTGATTTGGGGAATTTTCATAATTATACACTTTAAATTTGGGATGGGAGTAATTTCTTTATTGTTACAATGTGAGTCCCTCTTGCCCCACAGAAATTTCAAAGTTAATACCGTGTAAAGTCCTGAATTTTTAATGTAAATTATTGTTATTACACATTTAAGGAGCATTTTAAATTTGTAAAATTTACCTGTCTGTATTTGCATTCACATTAGTTCTCTTTTGCCTAGAAATGTGGCAATTAATTTGATTTTGGAAAATCATCATGGAAAGAATTAAAATGGGAAAGCAGCAAATAGTTAAGCGAGTCCAATGGCATTTATTAGGTGATGTGTTTCTATATGTAAAGAAATATTTATAATTTTATGTTAATATATACATTTTGGACACAAATACATTCTCTTTCAACAAAACTTTCAGTGTAAGCCAGTTAATTGTCTTAATCAATTTAAATATGTTATCAACTCAAATAAAATAGAGAAAAAATTATGTAATCTGTGTTACCTACCAAAATATTTCCCACTGGGGGTAGAAAATTGGTACTAGAATAGACAAAAAGAATTGAGGCCAGCGCAGGTCCTGACCTGTCTGTGGTTTGGGGTTGCTATCTGCCTCATAAAGCAAAGTAGAGGGTTTGTCTCCTGGGAAGACAGAAGTTGTCTTCTCTGCAGAAGCCTCTTACATAGCTAGCCTGGGCATCTTTTAGGAATAGGAGGGCAAGAATTGAGACCTCATGAGGCTGGGTTTTCAGTTGAGGGAGAGAGAGAAGATCGCAGTGATAGTCTGGAGTGGAGTGTTATTACCTCCAGAACTTATCACTGTTAACTCAGCCTGGGTTTCACGGCAGTCAAAGTGGATTCCTTAATAAAATAATACTGTTTCCCCCCCAAATAGACAATAAGACATTATGGTGATTTAGCAATAAAATTACATCCTGCTGGAAACTCCACTTTAGTTAGTTTGTTATACAAACAAAACAGGAAGGAAAATTTATTTCTTAGAAGCCCCTATTTATTCATTCTTTGTCTCTCTCTCTCTTTTTTAAAAGCTTCTATTTTTCTATGTCTCTGCTTTTACCTACATTCCCTACTGATATTCTTGTAGAGTTACATTTGGTTCCATGTACTTGCTTACTTCTTCCATCGCTATTGAAGGGGATGCGGATATTTTACTTCACAGTAAAATGAGACTTATGAGATTTCTCATACTTGGCAATGGCATCTACCATTTGAAGTTAAAGAAAGTAACTTTATTGGAATATTTTGCAGGTTTAATTTCAGTGGCTAACTCACTGAACAGCTTCCAATCATCTGTGTCATTTATTCTCAATGCCACGCACCTCTCCCATATTTCCTCAACTGGTTTTGATGACTTTCATAATTAATCACTTCACACATGAATAGAATCTTTTTGCCATCCTGCTTTGGTATAGTTCTGCTTTTGCAATGTTATCTGTATTTTTACAAAAATATGCACGTGTTTCCACATAGACCAAGCCTTTGGAAATAACTGCAAGGATGAACATTTGGACTGCTATATAGACTCTCTTATTATCATTTCAGTTGATAAATGGGGGTGAAGATGTGCTGATATTTTACAATGATAGAGCATCATTTCCCATCCTTCTCCATATGATGTGTTCAGAGAGAGACCGAGGGGATGAGAGTGGCCCCTTAGCCTACCACATCACCCTTGTGGAGCTGCTGGCAGCATGCACAGAGGGGAAAAATGTCTACACTGAAATCAAGTGCAATTCCCTTCTGCCCCTGGACGACATAGTGAGGGTGGTGACCCATGATGACTGCATCCCTGAGGTAAGCCTGGCAAAAGCTTAGCAGCTATAGAGTTGTTTTTAATTTCTAGTAAGTGCCAGAAGTCCTCCTATGGTTATTTATAATGAGATAACACACTTAGTCACAGAATAGTACCTAGGTATATAATTAGGGAAATTTAAAAACCATTAAAACTTACTTTTTTGTTCTACAAGGGACTATGAAAGTTGATAAACCTTTTAAGAGTATAACCACTGTTAGTTTTCTAGAAATTCCACTATAGAAATTTCTAGGTATGATATTGTGATCAGAGTTAAACATTTACTTGTAACTTCTAGTATGTTTTGAGCATAAAACAGATGCTTCATAAATAGCTCACAGTCATCAATAGAGGCTGGAATGGTGCTCAGGACCACTATTAGATTCTCTAGGTTTACCTTTGCTTTATGGAATAGATGCTTTCTTGGAAACATGGACACATATTTTGTTTTATTTATACATCATCTTTTACGCTCCATCCTAGTTTGGCATGACAGGCAGGGAAAAAACTCATTAGAGACTGGTTGTCTGCCAGCTGCATTAATGAAGCTTCCAGGAATGTATATGACAATAATTTCTTTTTTTCTACTGTTCTAGTGTATTGTTGCAAAGTTTATAAATATGTGATATGCTAAATCCAAACATTTTAAATCACAGTAACTTTAAAAGATACCAGGTTAGGTTAATTTTCCTATTTCCAAATAGTCCTGCATAGTGATGGACTTGAAAGTATATTTTTTATGAAATTTTGTAGGATTGCTAACACCTCAAACCAAGAATACTTCATGCCTTGGTTGTTTTGAAGTAAGGTAGCAAAGAAAGGAAGCATAGTGTTGTGATTAAATTATGGGTTCTATCTTTATTTGAAGTCCTGATTCTGGTCAGTCAGTTCTCTCTGACATAGTGCTCTAACCTCTTATATTCACCTGTTTCACCCCTCTTCATCCTTTCGATCCTGATTCAAGTATTACTTTTTCAAAGAAGACCCTCCTGGCTTCTAGTTTTAGAGCCTATAAGAGTCTACAATTTGAAATTTGACATTTGAATTTTATTGATTAACAAATGTCTATAGTCTTTTCATTCTTTACCAAGATTATAAGCTCAGTGAGAGTAACAGTTGGGTCTATTTATAGTTACCATTATATTCTCTGAGCCTGGGCCTACATTTAAGAAATATGTTTTGAGTGAGTGAGTGAATGGATTGAAGAATGAGTCAGAATCTTGGATCGGTTACTTCCTACCTGTGTGACTGATTCCAACAGGTTACTTAACCTTTCTCATTGTCAGTTTACACAGTTTTGAGTGAAATAACTATAGTCTATATCTGGTAGAATTGATGGGGAATTAAATTAAATATTGCCGAATCTCCAGAATGCTGAGATTCTGATGCCTCCTTACCCTGTAGTGTAGCCTTAGCACAAGCACCGTGTGGTTGAAGGTTTTAGACCTCAGTCAAGTAGTGATAACTTCTAAGGCCATAAAAGCTGACCTTGTATTCCCATTGGTTCTAAGTTGGATTCTATGAATGCTCTGAAACTGTTTACCTGATTTTTTAAAATATGTGATTTTTACTGGGGAGATTTACAGCCTTCATCACATTTTCATAAAGAGAAAGAGGAAAGACAAGGAGAGAGAAAAAAAAAAGAGGAAAGAAAGAAAAACAAAAACTATTGTCCTATGCACTTTAGTAATGGTATATGTTGGTGAGACTCATCCCAGTCTCTTATGAGAAGTTTTGCTAAATCTGGAAAGAAATTTTAATACATCTTAAAATAATGCTATTTTTTTGGTAAACTGTGAGCCTGCTTCTTCTCAGAAATAGCAGTTTAATTGTTTTTGAATGGCAATACAGTATTATTTAGTCAACATATTTAATCATTGTATTAGATCTCTCTTGGTTGCAATGGACAGAAACCTAATTTAGACTCGTTTAAATTTTAAAAGGGAATTTTATATATTGGCTCCAGTATTTGGAAATTTGAAGGATGGTTTTTCAGATGAGTCAAGAGGTTCAAGCAGTGTCAGAGTTCCATCTATTTTTTGTTCCCTTTTCCTTTGTGGTTTTGCCTCATGCCCTTTTTTTCTGAGCATAATTTTCCTCTACACACCCAGAGAAGAGGCATCTTGGGGCAGGTTTACCTTGTTCCATTTGACAATGAGAGAGAGAGAGAGAGGATGAATATGAATGAATGAATGACAGAGACAGAGACGGGAAAAGGAGGTGGGGAGAGAGAGAAAGGGAACACTGGTGTCTCAAATATGTTAAACTTGGTTTACATGAAGTTCACATTTTCACACCAATCACTGGGCCCAGGGGAACAGAATACTAGGTCTTGTGTTTACCCTGGGCCAGGGGATGAAATAGTAAAAGAAAGGAGATACGCATGCTCTTTGGGTAGACACAAATCATACTATAATTTACTATAGGAAATAAGAGTTTTATTTAACTGTTCCTAATAGATATTTGAAAATGAAGAATGTAGAAAAAACTTACTTTCTTTTATATTTGAAACTTGGCACAGGTTAAAATTGCTTATGTGAATTTTGTTAATCACTGTTACGTTGACACAGAAGTGGAAATGAAAGAAATCTACACAAGTAACCACATTTGGAAATTATTTGAGAACTTCTTGGTGGATATGGCAAGGGTAAGTTATGTTTGACCATTAAATGCTGCTTCATGTTTAGTAAGGTTGTTGATGTAGCTTTTGACTAAATAGAATCAAGCAGCTATTAATAGATGAAAACTTAAAATTAAACCCGCTATGTTTGGATGTCATCTGTTATATTCAAAAAGTTGTGACTGAGTTTCACAAGACTGTGAGTGAGATTTCATGAGTTAATGTACACAAAATGCCAGTACAGTGTATATGGAAACAAGGTGTTCATTTTCATTTTTACCGCTGATTGTATTGGTCTATTAGTAAACAGAATTTTAGTAGCCATCTTATATTGGTTAGAGAAGGTATTTGGCAGAGATCAATTTATTCAGCCTCATGTCAACTATAAACTGTAGGTGGAAGAAATCTCACGATATCTTGACTATGGCTTTCAGGCAGATAGGTACTTGACCATACTGTTTGGAACCTAACACTGCCCAATGTTGCTTATGAGAGTGTGTTCCAGTAATTGAATCATCTGATGTTTTTACTCATGTCAGCCAAAATGCAGACTGCTTTTTACTTTGAGTCCATTTTCTCATGTTTGGCTTTTTTTGAGGGTTGGGAAGGACACATGTAGCTGGTTGGCATTTTCTGAATATTGTCTAACATATGTTTTTGTTCTGTTAATATTGACTGAATGAATGAAGAAAGGAAGGACGGAATCTTTGATAGCACTTAATTTTAGTTAGTATATCTTATGCCCCTTTTAAGCATGCTGAATTATCAAAATGTCCAAACTCTATTATTTTAGGTTTTCTTTTTTTTTTTTTTACAGGGGGCTGGGGATCTTCTCCAGTTTCCTCTGTAAAATTGTGGAATGTACTGTTCAATTAAGGGTTTCACTATTAGAAGATAATGTATAGCTAACTCCTTAGACCTGTTATGACTTATGGTGGCCTGTCCCAGTCCTTTGGCCGCCTACATTCCTGAGTGCTGTGGTTTAATGGGTCTCATTAAGATGTACTGAAGATGTAGTGAAGGAGGGTGGTTAATGGAGTCCACATGGATGGATGCTGATTTTATCCGTTATCTCAATGCCTTCTTACAGTCCTTTCTGGAAGGAGGAAGGACAAAGGGGATATAATGAAACAACTGCAGACCCAGATATCCAGGACCAATCTTAGATAATAGAATAAATCACATATTCTAGTCCAGGCACTCTTATATTTAGTCAGGGTTAGCAGGTGGAATGTGTTTATTTCGACTTTGGTGTGGGATAGTATGCTCAAGCTCCGCTGTGTTCACACATGTGTGAAGTAAGGCAGTTCCTGTTTTACTTTATTTCTGTAGACTTTCAAAGCCACACATTCCCTTCCTCAGGTGGACCTGCACCTGTGGAGGAGTCATCCTGTTTTACACAGCACTTACATACCACTTGTATTTACCCTTGTGACCTTGTGAAAGCACTTCTAAATGACTAGCCACGAGTATCTCCAGAGACCTTGGAGTGAACAACGGTTTACATGCTGATGGCTGAGGTTTAAAATTGAATGTGCGGGAAGATAGTAAAAATATTGCAGACTGATTTGCAGATTTGCACGGTGCTCCGGACTAAAGATAAGGTTGAAAAGGCCAGAGTCACTCTCTAGACAGCACGAGCTGCAAAGCAACAGGATTTTTATTTTTAAACCAAAGAAAGCTGATGATAACTGTCATTGATCATGCTACCTTGGAAAGGGTCTTTCCATTGATGTGTTTATTCATAAGGTTAAGAGGTACATTTTTTTTTAAAGTGTGTGTGGAGGCAGGATATTTATTTTATTTTGATTAAGTAGACATAGTGTTATTAGTATTAAAGGCTTTAAGAGAATTTCAGGATCTTCTTGGTCTATTCAGTCCTTATGTCTAACCACAATAGCTTAACTATATTGCAGAAAGCATTTTTTCTTTCCTTCTTGTTTCTCTCCCTCTTGTTTATATGTAAAGCAAGACTCTCTTATCCCCTCATTGAGAAAAACAAGGAATCACCCTTCTTATGTCAGGGAAGGGACAGGAAACCTGACTTTCAATATCTGGGATTTGTCTTTCTCCCCTTGAAGAAAGTTTAAGGAGCTACCACACACTTTCAAATTCAAATACAAAAAAAAAGGGTAAGTAAGTAGAATGTGGCCTTTTAGGCAAATTTTCAGTTCAGTAGAGCAGTAATTCTCAAACTTCAGTAAGCAGCAGAATTACGTGGAGGGTTTGATAGAACACAGATTGCTTCACCCCACCCCCATAGTTTCTGATTCAGTAAGTGAAAGTCTTTACATTTTTAACAAGTTTTCAGGTGATCCTGAAGATGCTGGTTTAAGGACCACACTTTGATAATCACTGCAGTAGAGAAGGGTTGTTAAGACTAGGCATTTTAAAGGCATTGGTCAGACCAGAGATAAAATTTAGATTCTGCCTCTGTTTTTTTTATTATTTCTTTTTATTTATTTTAATTGGAGGCTAATTACTTTAGATTCTGCCTCGTAATAGCTCAGTTATCTTGTTGGGCAAGACACCTACCCCTCTGATGCTGAATTTCCTTATTTGTAAAATCAATACAATAATAATACATTCTTTATAGTGTTACTAGGAGGATTCAATGAGATAATGGGTATATAGGTCTTAACAGAGGCATGGCATTTAGTAAGAGAGTTGGTACTATCATCATTTTATCCATATCATGGTAACTTCACTGGTATTATTAAAAGGTTATATGTAGCCTTTAAAGCAATTTCAAGTAGTTTCCACAAGACCCAATAATAATATGGAGGATGACCTGAATGAGGACCACCCAACACAGGCAAGACCCAGAAACCATGTTGGTGAAGCTGGACGCAGGCAACAGCAACCTGATGTAGAGATGGACTAAATTCAGGTGTTATCACAAAGTTATGAAATTCTGGGACAACTGATTTCCATCACTGAGACAAGGTGAAGGTAATCTAGAGGAAAGGTATTTGGTAAATTGGACCTGAAGAACCATAGGATCTCAGGGTTGAAAGAAACTGGCAGTCCTGCAGTTCAGTGTTCAGTACTTGCCTGTATATTTCCATTAACAGTGACCTTAGTCTTCTTTTTTGGGGGAGACAATTGGTTTCATTACTAGAAGACTTTGCTTGTTAAAAGGTCTTATATTGATCCAAAATTTTATGTTATAATTTTTTACCTATTTTTCCTTTTGCAGCAACATAGGATGATTCGTTTCAGAAAAGATGTGGGTGTTTGCTAGTCTCCTTGTTAGTGATCTAGTTTGAAATGATAAAGGTATACAACTTAAAGGATCTTACGATCATCTAGGTTGACCTGATAATTTTGCTCCCAAGTTCCCGAGAGATTAATTTGCTAGCATAGGGTGTCTTGCCTGGCTGGTAACAGAACTTGAAGGCCTGCGGGTGCTGAATCCAGGGTTCTTCACAGAGTAACTTCTCAAGCATGTCATGATAGCTCTCATGTCTCCTGCTGTTTTCTCCATGACTTTCAGTGGTTCCTCTTCCGTTAAGATTTCTGGGCTTCTTTGCAGTACACTTTTGAATTCTCTCTAATTTGTTAGTGTTTTAAACATGGCATTCAAGATGGAACCCAGTGCTTCAGGCAGGGTTCAGCTAGCACACGTGTATGTGTGTGCGCATGGGCACTGGCTCAGTCGCTCAGTTGTGTCTGACTGTTTGCAACCGAGACTGTATAGCCTGTCAGACTCCTCTCTCCATGGAATTTCTTCAGGCAGGAATGTTGGAGGGGGTTGCCATTTCCTCCTCCAGGGGATCTTCCTGACCCAGGGATCAAACCTGCATCTCTGTGTCTCTTGCATCAGCAGGCAGATTCTTTACCTCTAATGCCACCTGGGAAGCCCAAGCCAGCACAAGGCCGATGATTAAAAATTTGAAGAGCAGTCCTGTTTAAAAGGCAAATGAAATATTAATATGCAGTGGCCCTCATGCCACCTTCTACCTTTGTCTTCATGTTTCTCAGGAGTCAGCACCACCGAGTTCCTTTTGTTTTCTCTTGGTAAAGTTCTCTAAAGAGTCCCTTAATTAGTTTATTTCATGTTCCTGTTTGTACTCCTTTGTCTTTTATCTTGTTAAGACCCATGTAAGAAAAGTTTTCCGAAAGATAGTTTTTACTAAACCAAATTTGTTTAGTTTTAATTTTTATTATTTTTTAAAAAACATGTTTATTTGCACTGGCTTGTTTCATATACTTACTCCATTCTGATTTTCTGACAGAACCGGCATCTGTGTCCTGTAAATACACCAGATTTAGACAGACAGCAAAGCTGTTAGGCCTATGAAAAGTTGTTTTACTGTCTTTTAGAGAGAGCATTTAACAACAGCCCACTTTGATCTCTGTGTCAGTGCAGCTAAAATCGGTGTTTGTAAGGCAGAAATGCTTTTCTTTGCTTCATAACTGATTGTTGTTGCCAAGTCAGGAGATTTGAGTCATATTAGAAGGTACATGGAGAGGGGTGAGCTGTGGTTAGTGTTAGCCGCAGACTATTTTTCCTTTTGAAGATGTTCCCAATTTTGCTATCAATTCCAAGATTCTCTAATGGTCAACAATACACTAAGTGATGTACTGGCAGATGAAATTAGACTGAGGAATAACTTAGAGACACACCTGGCACAGTGTCATGTCATTCCCTCTTCAAACGCTGCTTAACAAGACAAATCAGAGTATTTCATTTCCAAGTAGATCACTTGAGCACTTTCTCCCTTTGGCTTACCAAATAGGTAGGAAATGACAGTAAGATAAAATGTATATGTACTTTTAAATACCCTTTCCAGGTTCTCTAGTTTGATAGAATTCAATAGATTTTCTCTGCTTGATGAATTGATTCCATCATTTTCTTCGTTGGTTTTTAAGTTGAATGAGCCATTGAAAAGTTGCATTCTAAGGCCTTCTTTTTAAAATTTATTTGCTTTTGGTTTTGGCTGTGGGCTACTCTCTAGCTGTGGTGTGTGGGCCTCTCTCATTGCTGTGGCTTCTCTTGTTGCAGAGCATGGGCTCAAGGTCAC